TAAACCCAGGATGCGGGGGTTGCGGTGAGCCGAGATCGCGCCATTGCACTCCAGCCAGGGTAACAAGAGCACAAGAGCGAGACTCCGTCCCAAAAAAAATAAAAAAACTAAATGAATGAAAGGAATTGTGTGAATTGTTGTTTGGGTTTCTTTCCTAGCAAAACAAGGGAGTATATTAAAGGGCACAAGAAAGGAGCCCAGTTGACAATGTATAACACAGCACTCTGGCGGACTAAGCAGCACACCAGTGAACTTGGCTCTTGGTTTTCTGTGCTGGGTTATTCTATTGTTGATGTGGCTGCACTGGAAAATACAGTGCCCAGAATCCCCTTTTGTGTGTGTGTGATTCTGAATACAAAAGTGCATCTGCACAAGATTTGAAAGGCAGACGGGAAGCAGCAGCCATTATCTTCCGAGATCACCATTGATTAGAGATGGTGAAAGACACAGTGGTCTTGGCTGGTTCCATTTTGTTATTGTTCTTCCCTGATGGCACCTGACAATATATAACCAGCTCCACAGCACATAAAATTACCATTATCACAGTAGTTTTCAAATGCTAAGTATATTGCATAAGCTACTGCAACAACTTACACATGAACCTCCCACCAATTCACCACAAGTAATTAATAATTTTGATGCCAGGATCTTTCTGCACTTATCACTACCACACCTACTTCTAACAATGGGATCCTTGTTCCCTTCTGGCCATGAATAACTTAATTCCAAAATCTCTTTCTATGTATTTGCTCTCTATGACCACTTCTGTATCAAATCTCTGACACTGGGTTCTTCCAGAAGCAGATCTTGAAAAAATGATTATAAGTAGTTTATTTGGGAAATGCAGGAAATGCAGAGAGAGAAGGTGGGATGTTATATAAGAAATGCAAGTGTTTACAAGGGTGTGAAGAAACAAGAGTTCCTCTACCCTGCTAATGAGAGCAAACATTGGTAAGAATATTTCAACAGCAATTTGACAATTGCAAGTAAATTTTTTAAGATGTGAATCACTTCCAGGTGTATAACATAAAACATTCTCTATCTATATATAAGGAAACATAATCATATTCCATGTAGAATTTTATAATAAAAATTAGAAACATTCATTGAATAAAGGATTAACAAAATCCTTTCTCTTTCTACATGAAAAAAGATTAACTTTTAATCTCTGTTTCTCTGGAAATCCAATAAAAGTAGAATGTCAGCTATATTACCAAGTAAGACTGTTATGGTAAAAATGATCCTGATTGATAAACTGCATCTGGACTGTAAATGGACTGTGAATGCTTTTTAACATATAATAGTTTTAGAGCAGTGACTTTTATAATTGTTACAGGAGATACTGGTTTCCATTTGGGATATGGGGTTTCTAAGTCTGGATGGCCTGCTCGGTCTTATTCCCTCACACCTTAGCTCTTGATGTGGGAGGAGGGGAGGAAGACATTGCAAAAAGAATGATCTGTGACCTATATAGACAGCTGAAAGGACTGCTCTTGAGAACACTTAGGGTGTGAAGGAAACCAATACCTATGTGTCCTATTGAGCTTTGTAAACTTGATTGTCTAACTGAGCCTAAGTCTATCACAGCTGATGGCATTGCACAATCCAACATGCATGAAAAGGGACATATAATATATTCATAAAATGGAGTACTGTATATCGGCTAAAAGCAAATATATCTACATGTATAAATTTTTCTGTATCTCAAAAAATCTTAGAAAAGAAATCAAGTTTCACCATTACACATACAATTGGATTGCATTCATATAATTTTAAAAGCACAAAACATGGCACTACACATTGTTTAAAAATACCTATGTATTAGAAATAAACATGGACTTGAGAAAAAAGTTCATAATGGGTTTGAGAGAGGGATGAAGGTATTAAAACTGAGGAGAAAAGAGAGATGGCAATTTTATTTGTAATGTTTTATTTATTTTTAAAAAATTGAAACTTTACATTTATGTGTATTAATATCAAGAGATAGAAATAATATAATATTGTTTTAAAATGTTACAGTCTGCTTATATGGCAAATATAATTGTGTTAGAAATTAAATATTTCTGGTTTCTACTTTATATATATATATATATTATATAAAGTTCTTTACATTTATAAAATCATATAAATAAAACTACTCTGACATCTCAGACAAGGTTGTTGGTGTGAGAATGGAAAATGCATTTCCAGGTGCTTGAGGTTCTTGGTGCCAGCAGTTACATTTCCTTGGTACGAAGCTTCAGTTTGGAATTGAAAGACACTGCCATTTCTCACTCTCATATGTAGTGTATAAAGTACCCACTGCAGTCATTCTGAAACACATGACTGCATTGTGTGTTTTAAGTCTTAGAAAGATCATCAGCCTCATACGGTGTTTGATTTTCTGCTTTCACATGGACACAGGGAGGGGAGCACTACACACTGGGGTCCGTTGGGGGGAAATGGGGGAGGGGCGGGGGGGTGGGGAGGTGGGAAGAGATAGCATGGGGAGAAATGACAGATACAGGTGAGGGGACGGAAGGCAGCAAAGCACACTGCCATGTGTGTACCTATGCAACAATCTTGCATGTTCATCACATGTACCCCAAAACCTAAAATGCAACAAAAAAATCAAAAAAATTAAAAAAGAAAGATCATCAGCCTCTCAGAGACAGTAGAGAATATAACCTAAAGAACAAGACATTAAATAAGTATATATTTCTTATAAATAATTTTATATATCTTACTTCATTTCTAGAAATCCTCCAAATGTATATACCACAAATGGCCATATCAATATAACTTGAAAAAATAATGTTGATCCCTAATGGTATCCCCTTTGGCTTAGGTAAATCATTGGAAATAATCCACTATCATTATCTATATCTTCAAATTCCTATTCCTCTTTCTCATGACAGCATCAGGAGGTACACAAAAAAAAGCCCAACCCTGCTCCTCCTCCTTCTTCTCTTTACCTTTCTTTAAGTCATTATTAACCTTGAAGGCTTCAATTAAGAAAATTAAAAAGTGTTTGTATATTTTTTTCTTCCTAGCCAGGGGAAGTCATACATCTATCACATGCCCTTCACCTTTTTATTCCCATTACCATACTTAATTAGAATATCTTCAGGGGCCAGACATTGATAAATTTTGCACATAATTATAGCAATGTTAAACAGATAAGAATTCATTTCTAATTTTCCAACTATTAAACCATATGAAACTGGAATAAGAGTTAAAAAAAAATAAAGTAACAACATTATTTGGCAGAATTGGCAAAAGTTACTATTTCACCAGTTTTGAAGATTTATAATGTGGATTTGCAGAATTTAAGATATCAAAAGAATAAGAACTGGGCTTTAAAGTAGGAAAAACAAAAAATAAAGGGGAATTTGGAAAGTAGACCTAGCATTTTCTTCTTCCTTAATAGTCCTTTGCAAACTACTAAAGAATTTCAGTTATTGACTCTCCTTTCTTCAGGATTCCTGACAAAGTTACTAGACGCTACATGAGCACACCATTGTTCTAAGCCTTTCAGCATCCTAATAAATCTCCTCCCTCCTAAATGAAGCACTTAAAAAGGAAAGAAAATAGTCAGCACAGTGTAGAATCAAGAAAAAGATTCCAGAAAACTACCTTAAAATTATCAAGTTGAGAGGGTAGTTAAGTATGCAAGAAGATACGCTACAAAAGAAGTCCACCTTTTGTTCCAGTTATTGAAGGATAAAATGGTGAATGAAAAGCAAAACTCTGTGCCATGTCACAATTTCCATATTCAACCATTTAAAGTGTAACAGCTTCACGCTCACCCAGCAAATCCCTGAGCACCTCCATACTGTGGAATAAGAACATCATAGCTTCACAAAAAGAATGAAATTCTATCATTTGTAATATAAAGCAAAAACAAAATTATCAGGTCTCCAACCATCTGAATGGACGTCTCTCAGCCAAGGGCATGCCAATGTTAACCTGAAAAACTAGTTTGGGCCACGATGGGAAGGGGAGACATGTTTCATAAACCCTCCTCCCTTTTGGATTTCCCTTTGGGAATTCAAGAAAAGCTAACTGTCATTAACATCAACATGCACTTTAAGTCTGATAAGACACATTTACTATCTAGTCTCTCTGAAGCCTGCTACCTGGAGCTTCATCTGCATGATAAAACTTTGGTCTCCACAACCTCTGATCATAGCCCAGACATTGCTTTCTATTGATAATAAACAACTGCCAATCAGAAAATTTTTAAGTCTGCCTATGATCTGAAAGCTTGCCTTCAAGTTGTACCGCCCTTCCAGATCTAACCACTGTAAATCTTACATGTATTGATTGATGTATTATGTTTCCCTAAACTGTATAAAAGCAAGCTGTACCCCAACCACCTTGGGCACATGTCGTCTGGACCTCCTGAGGCTGTGTCATGGGTGCATCTTTAACTTTGGCAAATAAACCTTCTAAATTGAGACTTGTCTCAGATACTTTTAGGGTCACAGCAGCAACATGAATGGAACTGGAGGTCATTATGCTAAGTGAAATAAGCCAGGCTCAGAAAGACAAACATTGCATGTTCATACACTTATCTGTGGGATTTAAAAATCACAACAATCAAACTCATGGAGATAGAGAATAGAAGACAAGGATGGTTTCTAGAGGCTGGGAACAGTATTGGGAGGGTGAGGGAGAAGAGGGATGTTTAATGGGTACAAAAAAATAGAAAGAATGAGTAAGACCTGGTATTTGATAGCACAACAGGGTAACTACAGTCAATAGCAATTTAATTGTACATTTTAAAACAACTAAAATAGTATAATTGGATTGTTTGTAACACAAAGGATAAATGCTTCAAGGGATGGGTAGCCCATTTTATGTGATGTAATTGTTATGTATTGCATGCCTGTATCAAAATATCTCATGTACCCCATAAACATATACATCTACTATGTAGCCATAAAAAGTAAAAATAATTTTTTTTAAAAAGCATCATGGTTTCTACTGTGTCAGAATCCAAAATCTTTCAGAGGCAGTTATTCCTCCAGCACCTTACAAAGTTTGTGTTCGGCTCCCTTTGCAGTCCCAGACACTGTGGCTTTCACAGCACAGAAGTACTCAGCCGTGTCACTCCACTGCACAGAGGGTTTCTTCAGGTTAAAGGAAGAGCTACTCTTCATCAATTCAGCCTCAAAGCCTTTGATGCCTTTAACCAGTGTGTCCCCTGAATAGTACTTGAGGAGAAGCTGAAGGTCTTGACCAGGGTTCTGGACATACCAGAAGAGAGTAACAGTTCCACCATAGGAATAGTTGCATCTCAACTCCAGTGAGGCTCCTTCAGAGAGAATTACATGGTAGTCAGGCTGGCTCACAGACTGGGCTCTGGCATCTCCTGAAAAAAATCAATGTTGTATCAATGAAAACAGTGCAGACTTGTCTATGAAATGTTTTTCTACTAAGATTTGAATCAGAAAACAGTGACTTCTGTGGAACTAGAGACCGTAATAGAAGGTTACTCACTCAGGGCAAAAATCATTCCCAGAACTGGGATGAGCAATGGGAGCATGGCTGAGCTATGCAAACACGGCAGGCATCTCATTGGAAATTCTCCTTGGAGCCAAGAAGAAAGTGGCTGGAACCCAGGTCTGGGGAATAGCGAGTATGAGGAAAGGTTGGGCTAGGCAAGTCTCTTGTTTTGGTAAAAATACAAAAACTGCTGAGATAATCCTGATTGGTTCAATCTTTGATTCTCTCTGCTTGCCCCATCATCAAAGAACTCCAGTGAGGTGCTTCGGTAAGCCAGCTGCAGAAAAAAGGGGCTGAGCAGAAAGTGTTGATCATCAAGGGAATGCAGGCATCTGTCCCTTGTGCAACATCACCCTCTGGAGGCCAGAAGCAGGACTGAGGACACAGAAGCAAACCTGTGCTTTTCCTTGTCAAAAACTTCCAGGGAACGTTTCTTTCTTCCCTGATAAGTGCTATGTTGCCCTCTGTAGTATATTACATTAACCCTAGCCTCAATGAAAAGTGAGGACTGTAAAAGAGAGGAGGAATTTACAGAGAAAAAGATCACACACTAAATCTAGCAAATTTTGGAGTCCCTCAGTACCTTTGTGTAAAGCAGTGGAGACATTCTTTAAGCAAAGACAGTCGGATCAACCCTTCTGGCTGAGCTTCAAATGGCCTTGTTGCAGTGAGCATCAGATTGAGAGGAGGATGTGGTAGGATATGGAGATACCTGCTTCGGTAAAATTAAAAATAAGATCAGATGTACAAAATAAAAGCCTAGAATATAAGCCCCTCATCTAGGAAAAGAAAGTAGGCTTATCTTTGTCTTCTTCAAGCAGAATTACAAAGATACAGTGGCTTTAGAGCAACAAAAATTATAGTATGATATTCAGATAAGAAAGTAAAATAACATTGCCATTTGCTCGGAACATAACCAGAGTATTACACCCAGTTCTGGGTACTACATTATCAAGACAACATTCGTAAACTTTATTACCTACAGACAAAACTGAGAGGATTGCTGAAAGCATTGCAAAATAAAATACAAATAATTCCTGAAGGAACTAAGGACAGAGTAAAAATACATTTGCATTTACCCTGGAATCCAAGAAGGAGTGCCACCAGCAGACCAGAGCTAAGAAAAACATCTAAAAGGAAAAAAGACGTGAGCTGTTTGATCATGAAATCTGACATAGATAGGCAACCAACAGTTTTACTTGAATGAGTCAGGTCTTGTAAAACAAGGTAGTGTTGATTGTGGCGATGGCAAGCCTGTTCTGAAAGAAGCCTTTTCTTCCCACCCACTTCAGCTTGTGGACCCTGGGGCTAAAAGAGTAACTATCATACCAGGAGATCAGTTTCAGGGAAAATGAGAAGAGAAAAACAAGCTGCCTTTCCTCAGGGCCATAGGGACCTTTTATTAAAGTTAGAAAGCCTCTTTTCTGGGACTGATTTTTTCTAGCAACAGGAAATCAAATCTGTTCTCGGGATCCTCATTGTCTTCCTTCTTTTTGCCTGTAGATTGTCTCTCACTTATAAGAAGTGCATGAATACTGCTTCTAATTCAGATGACCATACCTGCTCACTGCCGATCTTTCCAAAATTCTCATTGATAAAAGGATAGAAATGTAAAGGGGATGATGATTTAACTAGAGAAGTGAAAATCACAGAAAACAACACAGCTGTGAGAGACGATAATGTAAATTGTAATGAGTAACCCTTCAATCTGGCGTTAGTGCACTGGTGGAGAGTGGAGAGGAGGTTTGAGGGATTCAAGAGTGAGGAGGTTGAAAACCGCATCAAACCCTTAATCACATATTCTAAATAAACAGCCGCAAATTGACATATGATTGCTAAAACAAATTATCACGAACTTGATGTCTTAACAACACAAACTTACTTTTACAGCTCTGCAGGCTAGAAGTTCAACATGAGTCTCATTGGGTTAAAATCAGGAATTCAGCAATATATCTTTCTAAGGGCTCTGGGAGTGAATCTGTTTTCCAACTTGTAAAGGCTGTGCACATTCCTTAGTTCACAGCCCCTCCCTCTGTCTTCAAAGCCAGCAATGTTTCATCTCTTTGATCATTCAACTATAGTCACATCTCCCTCTGACCACAGCAGGGATGTTTCTCCAGTTTAAAAAACCCGTGTGATTAGATTGAGTCCACCTGGATGGATGATGATCTAGGCTAATATTTCTATCTCGAGGTCCTTAACTAAATCACATCTTCAAGGAAACCTATTAGAAAACAGGCCTACATAAACAATGACACAGGAAATACCTGTAATTGTACAGTCCTTTCATCTTATAATATAAAGGGAAGATTAGTCCTCAGTATAAAGCAAGAAACATAATCAAGAAAAGAATCAGAAAGGGATGCAAAGGGAAACAAAATTGTAAGAATAAAAGAGAATATTCAATAATATCTAGTTTAATATATCCTTAAAAAATCAACAACAAAAATTCAACAACCAGAAAGCGCTCTTTAAAAATGAAAATGTTGTTCCAGAACTTTATAAAAATCAGCAGATGGTCTGAAAATCAAAACTGAGAAAATCTCTCAGGACACAGAAGAAGACAGAGTCAAAAATGCACTGAAATATATTACTACATAGTAAATCAATCTTGGAGATAAAACAAGCAAATAATATTTGTCCTAGAAAAAAAGAACCAGAAGAGAGAGAGATTTACTAAAGAAGTGATAGAACAAATTTTCCCACAACTGAAGGACATCGTATATTTAGATGAAAATAGCCCACAAAGTGTGACTATCACTGAATTTAAAAGACTTACATTTAAATGTATTCTAGCAAAACTATAATACCAAGGATAAGGGGGAACAAATCCTAGATGAGTATGGAGAGAAAAGTAACAGAATCACTAATTGAGGTAAAAAGAGTCACACTGGAATTAGATTTCTGATCAGTATCAACAACTGTTAGAAGATTCTGATGAAAAATTTTTTGGAAAACTAGAATTTTAAACTGAATTCAACACGGGAGCTGATGGACTTAACACTAGGAATATAGAATTTCACTTATTCCCCCTGTTTGCTCTATGGCACCTCACTTCATCCTCAGATGTCTCTAGGAATCTCTAATCTAGAAACTGTCTAGTTCAAAATAACCAGATTCAACCTTTAATCTTCTACCAGATGTGAGGTAGCTTGCAGCCTGTAGTACAGGGTGGCAAAGGACATAGGAGGGTTACACTGGGTTCCATCTGCTCCTTCTTGAGGCTAGTCTTTCAATTAATTCTTATTTCTTTCCCATCTACCCTCTACACCTGATACTTTTTTCCCCATCAAAATTGATGCTTCTAATTCATGAGCATTTCCAGAATACTGCAGAACGCAGAGGACTGCTACCTCTCAGCTTTCCCCTCTATAGGCACAGGTTTTCTCTCTCGGTTAAACTAGTTTGTCACATTTCCATTTGATTTCAACACATTCAATGTCATCTTGTTCTCTCTTGTGCTGTCACCATCTTTTCAGTTCACTTTGTGCTTGTGTGTTTATACAGGTTTTGAACTTCTTTATTAGCATTTCAGTAGGGCCTCAGGAGGGAGCAGAGAATAAACGTGAATATTTAATCAACCATGTTCCACCAAAAATCTGGAACTTTTAAAAATTGTACACTGTTTTTCTTTCAAGTTTTGCATTTACCATGTACATGTGATTTTTTTAATTGCATTTTAGGTTTGGGGGTACATATGAAGAACGTGCAAGATTGTTGCATAGGTACATACACGGCAGTGTGGTTTGCTGCCTTCCTCCCCATCACCTATATCTGGCATTTCTCCCCATGTTATCCCTCCCCAGCTCCCCACCCGCCCATCCCTCCCCTATTTCCCCCTCCAACAGACCCCAGTGTGTGATGCTCCCCTCCCTGTGTCCATGTGTTCTCATTGTTCAACACTCGCCTATGAGTGAGAACATGCGGTGTTTCCAAATTATCTCCCTTTCAAATTTGCTATTCCTACAATTTCCTAATAGGTTTTTAAAGTTATTTACTTTCACTTTTGTGAATACCAGTAGGTTTAAACATTTCCCATAAGTTTGTGAACCATGTTGCTTTTCCTTGTATAAGTTGTCTCATTGTATCTTCTGTATATGTATCTCTTTATTACTGTTTTACTTTTTTTTTTTTTTTTTTTTTTTTTTCTGAGACAGGGTCTGGCCCTATTGCCTAGGCTGGAGTGCAGTGGCCCCATCTTGGCTCACTGCAACCTCCACCTCCTAGGCTCAAGGCCTCCTCCCACCTCAGCCTCATGAGTAGCTAAGACTACAGGTGCAGCCACCACACCTGGCTAATTTTTGTATTTTTTATAGAGATGGAGTCTTTCTTTTTTTTTTTTTAGATGGAGTCTTACTATGTTGCCCAAGTTGGTCTCGAATTCCTGAGCTAAGCGACCATCCCACCTAGGCCTCCCAAAGTGCTGAAACTAAAGGTGTGAGCCACTGCACCCTGCCCTGTTTTACTTTTTATGCACATAAAATTATTTAGAAAAATTATTAATCTGCTGTCAAATTAGCAGCAAATTTACAACAAGCTGCAGTTGGAATGTAATTTTAGTCATTCTTTTCACAGAATAAATTAGATTTTAATATTTATGCAAACAAACCTTCTAGCCTTTCTCTTAATTTCTTCCATTATTCCATTAACTGAAAGTCTTTCAGTTATTTGTTTAATATACAGTTATATTTTATATTAACTTTGTGATTTCATTAATTTCTTTGAAATTTACTCCATCATGTGAGATATTTCATTTGTTCTTTCAAGCAATATTTGTTGATTCCCGGTGATTTTGCAACACTTGTTTTCAAATATTTAACTTTGTGCTCCTCAAATTAGAGGACCTGCCCTCAAGACAAAACATGAGATAAATATGATGCATCATCTGGGAACACCATTGTTATTGAAAAATCAGATAATTTGATGAACTGGTAAATTATTTAAAAGATTATGTTGGCCAAGTGCAGCAGCTCACGCCTATCATCCCAGCATTTTGGGAGGCCAAAGCAGGCAGATTATCCAAGGTCAGGAGTTCAAGACCAGCCTGGCCAACATGGTGAAACCCCATCTCTACCAAAAATACAAAAATTAGGTGGGCATGATGGTGCATGCCTGTAATCCCGGCTATTCGGGAGGCTGAGGCAGGAGAATCGCTTGACCCAGGGAGGCAGAGGTTGCGGTGAGCCAAGATCATGCCATTGCACTCCAGCCTGGGCATCACAGTGAGACTCTGTCAAAAAAATTTTTTTAAAGATTATGTTGCACTATAATTAATATGAATATATTTTGTAGTAAAATAAAAATTATCAATCAAGTGTTTTTAGAACAAACACAGGACTGTTTGTATTTCCAGCAGACCACAACCACCTGGGACCACCATGCACCCATCATCCAGATTTCAGGGAGGAAAGGAAAGGGGTCCTGTTCATTCTTCTTGCTCTGTAGGAATGCATCTGCAGAAAGTCTGAGAATCTCTGATTAATTAATACAATTGATACAGCACAATTTAAGAAATAATACTATTCTTCTCCATTGATTTAGAAATTCTTTTTTGCCCTATTCAAATTTATTCTTTAGTTAAGTCTATTTCTTATTTTTTCACTCTTTTTACTCACTGTCTTTATTACTGGTATTGTTATTGGCTATCTATACTAGCCCAGTAATATTCTTGCAACAGTAACAAATAAGCTGTCATCCATTGTGACAGCTGTCCCTTTCACTGTTCCTCTTTCTCAAAAAAATAATCATCATCATTCATTCATTCAGCATTATTCAGTGTCTGGGATGTGGCAGGCACTGTTCAGTATTGGATACAACAGTGAAAATAAAACTCACTGGTTTCATGAGGTTTGCATCCTAGAGGAGAGAAAAGATGATTATCATTTAAATAAGACGTCCAGAAAAAGCCTTTGAAGGTAACCTTTTGATACTTTGAAAAGTTATGAGAAAACATGAAAATAATATATGTGAGGCCAAAAGTGTTATGTACTGTTTTTGGAAATGTACTCAACATTTCAGTCTGACTAAAAGAAATAGCTAAATGAGAAATAAAAACTTATTTGTAAAAAAGACAGATATTGGCCAGGTGCAGTGGCTCACACCTGTAATCCCAACACTTTGGGAAGTGGAGGCAGGTGGATCACTTGAGGTCAGGAGTTTGAGACCAGCCTAGCCAACATGGCAAAACCCCGTCTCTACCAAAAATACAAAATTAGCCAGGCATGGTGGCAGGCACCTGTAATGCCAGCTACTCAGGAGGCTGAGACAGGAGAATCACTTGAACCCAGAAGATGGAGGTTGCAGTGAGCCAAGATCACGCCACTGCACAGTTTTACTCTGGACAACAGAGTAAAACTCCATCTCAAAATAAATAAGTTAATTGATTAATTAATTAAAAATTAAAAATACATATTTTTGTTTTGGACATGTCCAATTGAGTGTACATAATGATACCAGAAAAAGTGGAACACATAACCAGAAATAAGAGGGAGCTACATTCTGTTTGTTTTTGTCTAGCTACATCATAGTGAGGATGAACACTACTAATATGTCAGCACCCATTCAGTTTCAAATAATGATGAAAACATGCCAGGAATCAGGCTAGGTGCTTCACATCTGTTATTTCAAACATATTGATGAATCTGTGTATTCAATGCATTTTACCTAGCCCCTTTCCTTAAATGCCCATTAACAAAACATTAAAAACGGTGAAATACACAGAAGTGCTGGATGCAAGGAGCAGCACAAGTCATAGCTCTAAAATCAGAGCAACTGTTTCAAGATATTATAAACAAGATAGGCTTGAAGGATAGTCCAATCAACCCATGTGTTACTGCCTACATGATAAAAGCCCACCCGAGGCAGCTCAAAGGACAAATGTGCCATTAGACTTATACATATAAAGCAGTGGCAGGGGACCCGGGGAGTAGAAAGAGGTCAAAGAGTAAAATAACAAAGGGTAATTCTGATCATGAATTATTTGAGGAAGAATGGGCTTCCATTTTGATGATGATTATGATGATATTGATGATAATGAGTACAAAGTGAAAAAATAAACACCACTGTCTCTGTAAGGCATTTCAGAAAGTAAACAACTGTTTTTAAACAAAATTTTTAATCTTAGAAACAAAATACGGTTTGTTTGCATGCCATTAGAAGAATACCAAATAGCATCATTGTCACTTTTAAGGAACCAAACCATTGATCTTAGGTCACCAAACTACTCTCTCTATTAGAATGGTACAATTATACAAAGAGATGGCAATATAAAAGCAGTTCAGGCACAGAAGTGGATATCACCATGGAACTCTCCAGCTAGTGCTCCAACTGGGGTCTCAATCTGGATGGGTACCATTCTTACTAGCAAAAGACATCCTGGCTTCTGGCTTGGCAAAAAATTCCAAATCAACCCTGACCTCCTTATCTGGTCCTGGAAGATTTAATAAATCCCAATATCATCAGTGCTAAAAGAGACCTTAACATACAAGGTTAAAAACATATAACTTTCCCTTTAAAGTGCTGTGAAAAATAGAAAAAAATATGGGACAAATGAAAAGATTCAGTACTTCAAGAAGGAAGAAAGAACAGGAAGAAAAGAGAATAAGTGATTGAAGAAACAAATTATTTCTAGAACAGAAGAAAAAGTAAATTTCTAGAAAACTTAAAACTTTCTACATGTAAGAAACTATTTAAAGGGTAATACCTGAGTTCAGAAAAAATATTGTCTTTCACCACAATATTTGGGAGGAAATAGGAGAAATATTTACAGGAGAAATAAAATACTCTGCTGGCTACTCTTCAGCTGCTGGTTTCTTGGTAGCTGCTGCCTTTTTTCCCACCAGAGGATTCTTCTGCTTCTTAACACCAACAACAGCCTCCTTTTCCTTTTTTTTTTTTTTCTTTTGAGGCAGAGTCTCATTGTGTCACCCAGGCTGGAGTGCAGTGGTGCATGATCTCTGCTCACTGCAACCTCTGCCTCCCGGGTTCAAGCGATTCCCCTGCTTCAGCCTCTCAAGTAGCTGGGATTACAGACACATGCCACCACGCCCAGCTAATTTTTGTATTTTTAGTAGAGGCACAGTTTCACCATGTAGGCCAGAGTGGTCTCGATCTCCTAACCTCTTGATCCGCCCACCTTGGCCTCCCAAAGTGCTGGGATTACAGGCGTGAGCCACTGTGCCCGGCCCCTTCTTTTTTTCTTACCTACCACAGGCTTCTTGCCTGCAACCCTCTTCTCATCTGATATGGCTTCTAGTGCTGCTGCTGCTACTGCTGCCTTATCCACCTGGGGCTTGTGACTCCCGGCCTAGAAAAGAGTGGTGTTCTGGCGTGGTCTTTGCATAATATGGGTTTAGCTTCAACATCATTCTCAGATTTTTCAGTGGATTCTTCTTTAGGACTCTGCAATGAATTTTCGTGGCGCCCAAAGGGCTCTCTGAATCTCTGGGCTTTTTAAGATTTTGCTAAGTCTGTATTGATCATCTTGTGCCTGGGAAGATATAGTGAGTTACTCTTGAGGGAAGCAGCTTTACACCAAGTGCCATACAATTCATCTAACTTCCTAAAAGCACTTTCAGTCCAAATGCAGCAACGTCCCACACGCCCACCAGGAGCAAGTTTCAAAATATTCGGTTTGCTTACATTAAGCAGAGTAATTCCAGGGATGTTTCTGAAGGCCTTGATGATACCATTATCCTCATTATTGATGATGCAGAGGCCCCAGCCCTGGATATGTGACCATTTCTCATTTTGCCTTCCCTAGCTCTCATTCATTGAAAGACATAGATCTTTTCAATATCTTTGCAGGCTTTAAGTTTCTTAAGAAACAGAACTGTTTCCTCAGTCTTCTTGTAGCCTTCAACTTTGTCTTCAGCTACCACAGGAGTTCAGGAACTTCCTCAATACGATGACCCTTAGACGTGACCCGTGCTGGTAAGGCTGCCACAGCCGGGGCAGAACAGATGGCATATCGTTTTCAGGTTGTGTTCACTCTACAATGCCAACGGTTCCAGGTTTTAGTTGGTGCCAACATTCGGCCTCCATGACTCATTTCCAAAAGCACTCTGGCCAGAAAGATGAGTCCCACCACCTCGAACGCTGGGAATTCAAGCCACAGCTCTGCCAGTACCCCAAGACTCACCACCGGTCGGATGACCTGCTAATTCACTGACACCATAGGGCTGTCTATTGTTTTTGCACAAGTTGGTGTGAACAAAGTTCACAGTATCTGGTCAAATAGGAGACTTGAATACAGCAGACCAGTGGCATTTTTGCCAGATGACTCCCGCTTTTTGGAGTAGACCAGTATCAGTGGGCAACCACACACCATGGCAAAGAGAGGAGAAAGCCATGCCCCTCTCACCCCAACTGCTGCCACAGGAAAAGCAATTCTAATTTTTTTTAATAAAGAAGAAATACTAAATGTTAACTATAAATTATCCGTATGATAGGATTACAAGACATTTTTATTTTCTATTTTATAATTTCCTATTTTTTCCTATACCATGCAATTAATATATTTATAATTAGAAAAAGTTAATAAATACTAATATTAAAAGATGAGAGACTCCATCCAGGAGAAAATTCTCTGACATTGACACCAAGATGTCCTTGGTAGGGGAGAAATCATTCAGATGACTTTATGGCACCCATAAAGTCAACCCTAAGGCCAGGGTATCAACTAAGAAATCATTAATTCCCAAAAAGTTTAATCAAAATGTTCTGAAACTTATTGGGTCATCTTGAAACTGACCTTCTAGGATGTTTTATAATGTCCGTACATTAAAAATACCATATAGCAAAATCTCTGACTTAAAGGTTAGCACCAAAGGAAACAGAGTGTGGCTTCAGACCCAGGCACAGGTTTGGGTACAAGATACAGGTGCCTGAGAAGCAATGTGTACTCTCTGCACAGAAGTAGATAGCTGAGTCCCCAGTCTGTGCTTCTGCAACGTGCAGAGAGAGATGTTTATTCTTCTTATCCAATTGAACAGTGAGTCTTTGGTCTTGTTTCATGTCCGTATTTGAAAGAATATATGCCAGCAGCTGGAGACTTGCACCAGGTTCTTGCTTATACCAATATAAGTAGCTGGAGGAACTGTCTGTGTAAGTGCAGTTCATAACAACGCTGTCTCCCTCTTGGACACTCAGGAAACGACTCTGTTCCACGTCCTCTCCGCTACTCATACCTGTGCAAAAGGAAAAGTCAGACAAGATCATCAGGTCATTGTTCTCTAGAATTTGCTTTTTTATTTTTTTCACTGTATTAACTTCAGGGATTCTGGAAAAGACCAGATGAGCCTCGTCCTCAGACTTCTAATGAATATTTACTAAATACTCTGTTCCCCAAAAGCTCTTAACTCACAATCTAGCTGCAGCCACAAAAACAGAAACAAAGATCCAGTAAGTGTCTTCATTGTTCTCCCGGCTGGGATGTGCAAGCCAAGAAAACTACTTTTATTATCAAGTATCTCTTCCTTTCCTCCAAAGCACTGTGGTTTCTTAAACTGTCCACAGATGCATCTGCTTCTGTCGTTAGCCTACTCACAGAAGTCAACTAAAAGGATCCTTTCATACGGTCTACATGAGCAGAGAAGCTCTGCCATCTTGTGGTCAGATTCCCAAATGCTAAACCAGTTATTCTGTATCTGTGGGAGATTCTGGCACGTAAAAGAGCAGCAGGTCAGATAAAGTAAATTTCAAGTGTACCTCCAATCAGAAATTATGTGGATTAGCAGAGAGCAAAATGTAAACGTAGGTTTCAGAATTCCATCTTATCTTCTGAGCACACTATTGCACTACTGAGTCATTTTAAATATATTTGAAGAAGTTAGAGGTTTTTCATGTTTATTAATGACAGTCTATTTGAAATCAAGAAAATGCCATAATTCAGTCTACAAAGCTACTGAGGAGTAAAACCTTATCTTCTTATCCCTGTACTATCTTTTAAATTGGCCAGAAAATCAATCAGCCAAATTAACCATCCTGGTTCAGCCCTCACAGAAGAAAACACTTTGTACAGATAACATTTAAGCACAAAAATTGAAATAACACAGGTTCACTAAATATATCAGATATATGCTATTTGAAGCTCTGCTCCTCCAAACCTGGCCTTGCTCCTGTTCTTGCCATTCCCAGGGAATTGACAATGCCGTAGGTCAAAACATGTTTTCTTCTTTAAAATGGCTAAATTGTACAGTAAAAGATAAAAGGAGGGAGAAAGTTTTCCATGGGTTAGTAATATCGGGCTAATGAAAGGGAAGAGTTTAGTATATAGACTGTGATGAAAAATCTGACATGCATTCTGAAAACTTTTCCTCTGGAAGAACAGTGCAAAGTATTGGCATAAAAGGAAACATCTCAGAAAATATCAGGCTTCAGATTGAGATCATGTAAACAAGTGCACATCTTTTCCAAGTGTATTCTTATTCCTATTGTCAGAATGAGTAGCTTGTCCTCAAATGTGATCACTGAATAATGATCCATAGTAGAATTTCCCATCCTGTTACCTTGGACACTACTAATTTAGATTTCAGACCCAAAACTTTTCCCTCGATTTTATTGCCTATTGCTAAAAATCATTGTTAAGATATCATCCTGCGATAAAGTCCTTCAGTACTTTAAATTCTCTATCTGAACCGTACATCATCTATTTGAATTTCTTCAGTCTTTCTGATTCATTCCTGTAAGAATAAATATAAGTAGGCATAAAACCAATGCCAGTTAGTAGTATAATATGTGCAGGAAACTGACAATGGCAAATTGACTCTCCGTCCAGGGACGCTTATTCTGACTGTTTTTCACAAGTTGAAGTCCCTTCCCTGTGCTTGACTTAGTAGATCTCCAAGCAATGCAGAAAATTAATCTAATCTACATGACATAACCGATATATCTCGAGTGTGATTATGCAGAATCACATTCCTGAAATACAAAGATATGTACATATTACCAAATGTACGTAGATTTATATACATTGAATGTATTTAAATTTTTCATTTAATTTTTTTATTCTTTCACTCATTCATCATAAAATATAATTCCCAGGTCCTTTATCGTATTTTTGGCTGCATTTTCCTTGAACTTTTCTTGACACTTGAGGTCAAAATCTGTCCTTCAGTTATATAGCATCCAGAGTTGAAAATACTAATCTTTAGATATATAGCATCTTAACACTTGAGGTCAATATCTGTCCTTCAGATATATAGTATCCAGAGTTGAAAATACTAGTCTTTAGGTGGTCTGCTTCTGTTCCACATATTTACTATAACACTACTTACAATTGTGACCTGGAAAAATTTCTACCTTTATGATTTTTTCATAAAATATTGCCTTATTATCAAGCACAATGGCACAGAATAGCTTTATTTTCTAATACTGCCATGGATTCCAACATGCATAAGCAATGTTCATTTTGCTCCCAATGTATCCACTTTTTCTTTTCCCTTGATCATTTTTTTCTTTCAGTATATGTGATGCACATTATATTTATAAATACAGGATGCTGAGTATAATTTGTTACTAATAATATGGAATACAAAGTACGCCTGAATGATGAGGCTAGTTATAAACAGTTCTTTAGCTTACTCTTACTTATGTCAGAGAGTGAATTACTGATTTCCTTATAGTATGAGAGTGGCTGACCCTAGGTCTTCTATTCTTTCCAAAATTCTGAACATGTATTGTCTGGTTGGCATAGATCAATGGCTGTACACATGGTGAGGGGCCACATAGTGTATGTCCATGCTGTGAGAGAGTGTTTCCCCACTGGCACACAAATGTAAGACCATAGTAACTTGGCACGCAGTATTCAGTGAATGTCTCTTCAGTTAAATTGAATCTCAGAATTTCAGAGCTATCAGGACCCTTAGGATTCTCTAGTCCATGGTTTTTCAATATTGGCACTATTAACATTTATACAAAATAATTCTTGTTTGGAAGCTATCCTGTCCATTACAGGATGTTTAGAGCATCTCTGACCTCTCCCCACTAAAAGCCAGTTTCAACTCTCTGTATGACAATAAAAAATATCTCCAGATATTCCAAAATATCCCCTGAAGGACAAAATTCATCCCAGATGAGAACCACTGTTCTAGCCCAATCTCACTAACAAATAAAAACATGAATCTAAGGTAAGTTTAGAGTCTCAACAAAATAAAACAATTAACTAGTTAAAAAAAAAAACTAGAACTTGAAAAAACTATTTTCCCCACCTCCCTTCATCATTCTGTTTACTTCAGCACTCCAAGACCACATTGCTGAGCAAAAAGGTACAAATTCAGGAACTGTGCTAAAATGCAAATCTTGAATCACTAGGACTGGAGTTTGGCCTAAGACTCTCCATTTCTAACAAATTCCAAGGTGATATTGATGCTGATGCTGATGATTCAATGTGGATATCTTACAGATGGGACCAGACTGCCCTCCTTCGGTTTTCTAGTTTGTGTTGGATTAGAATTAATTTTTCATTAACTGTTCTATTCAACTCACCTTTGAAGCTTTCTGAACCTAGAATTTTTCTGTTAAATTTTATCATTTTTTAGTTCAAAATATCTTCTAATTTTCCTTGTAAATTCTTCTTTTATCAATGGGTGACATAGAAGTATATTGCTTAATTTGCAAATATTTGGGGATTTTCTACTGTATACCTTGTTATTGACTTCTAAATTAATTCTAATGTGGTCAGAAAACTGCATGATTCTAATTTTTTCAAATCTATTGAGACTTTTTTATATCTGAAAATATGGTCTATTTGATGAATGTTCTATGTGTACTTGGAAAGAATACATACAGTGCACTTGGTGGATACAACGCTCTATAAATGTCAATTATATCTAGCTGGTTGTTCCAGCCTTGTATATCTTTACTGACTTTCTGTCTACTTGTTCTATTAATTACTTAGAGAACTCTGAGTGTTACATTCTCCAGCTCTGATTATAGATTTGCCTGTTTCTCCTTTAATTCTGTTAATTTTGTTTGACATATTTTAAAACTCTGCTATCAGCACATAAACATTTAGAGAATATTATCTCTTCTTGATCAAGTGACCCTCTGTTCATTATTAAATAATCCTTTTATCTCATAACACCCTTCATCCTGAAATATTCTTCAATATTAATAGAGACACATGGCTTTCTTGTGGTTACTAACTGCATGGCATGTGGTTGCTATTTGCTTGGCATAGGTTGCCTCTTACTTTCAACTTATCTTTGTCTTTAAAGTACATTTTTTATGAATGACATATAATTGCGTCTTTTTATCTCGTTTGACAATATCTCCCTTTTATTTGGAATGTTTATGCTATTTATATTTAATGTAATTATTTTTATTTGTTTTGAATCCACAATCATAATCCATATTCTATGTTTTTCCTCTAGTCTTTGTTAATATGCCCTTTATTCTTTCTTCTTTTATTTGAGAGGTTTCTATACTTATTCATTCTATTTCCCCCATTGGCTATAGCTAAACTTTTTTGCTTTGGTTTTTTGATTGTTTATCTATAGATCATCACATGCATTCTTAGTTTATCAGATTCTCTCTTGAATTAATATTATACTATTTCATACATAATGCAGGAGTCTTAAAGCAGTTTAATCCTATTGCCTCTTCAGGTTTTTTTGTTATTGCTGTTGATTTTATTTATATATGTTATTGGTTGTATAATAGATTTGTTATTATTTTTTGCATTTGTCAACTGTATTTTGAAAATGTAGAAAAGTAATCTCTTTTAATGTATCCACATAGTTACTATTTTTAATGTTCTTTATTACTTCATTGGGTCAGAAATTCCATCTGATATCATTTCCCCTCAGTCAACAAAACACCTAACAAAAATACTTGATAATTTTTGAAGTATGGTTCTGCGGATAACAAACAGTCTCAGCATTAGTTTATTATTAAATGTCTTTGTTCTAGAGTTTAGCCCTAGTTGTAGTCACAGAGTATTGTCCTTATTTCTAAGATATGGTCCTTCTGAGTTTTCACTAGAAAGCCTAAGGTATTTACCACGCCTCTTTCATTTGGCAGCACCTGCATTCCCAATTCCATTTCCCTAGTGCAGGGTAACTGCTAAAATCTTTTCTCTCAGCCATCTATTATTTTCTACTTACTTTCTTAGAGTCTTGTCTTATGCATGCACAACTCAGGAATCAACCAACAGGTTTGTTTTTTTTTTTAACTTGTATAAATTCAGGGAATACAAGTGCATTTTTATACATGAATATAAAGTCTAGGCTTTTAGTATAGCCATCACCTGAATAATGTACATTGTACCTAAAGTAATTTCTCATCTCTCACCCGCCTCCCACCCTCTCACTCTTCTGACTCTCGTGTCTATTATCCACTCTCTGTGTCCGTGTGTATACATTATTTAGTTTCCACTTATAAGTGAGAACATACAATATTTCTGTTTCTAAGTTGTTTCACTTAAGACAATGGCTTCCAGTTCTATCTATGTTGCTGCAAAAGACAGGATTTCATTCTTTTTATGGCTAAATAGTATTCCATTGTGTCTGTATACTACGTTTATCCCAGTCATCGGTTCATGGACAATTAGGTTGATTCCATATCTTTGCTATTGTGAATACTTCTGTGATAAACATATGAGTGTAGGTATCTTTTTGATATGATTTTTTTTTTCTTTGGGTAACAGTAATGAGATTGCTGGATCAAATAGTAGTTACACTTCTGGTTCTTTGAGATATCTGGAAAATAGTATTATGATTCCCATTTTATAGACAAAGTACTAAAGCTCAAATGCCAAAAGTATTTGAATAAGGTCAAACTCTTCCAGCAGGAGATCTCAGATTCAAATCCAGGAATGCCTGGCTTTAGAGCTGATTATTTTTCCAGTATGTTTTCCTGCTCAGAGCATGTAGCAAAAATAAAGTACAACTAGAATTAGAGTTCCCATTCTACCATCCTTCAGTGGCCATTAAACTCTTTCTTCCAAAGTGGCTAACATGCAGATGCCTGTCCATAAAGATATATCTTGAAACAAAAGCTAGTTGTGTTGTGTTCTCATAGTCAGTGCCTCCCTGAAAGAACCTGGATCATTCTCTGGTTCTCCATCTCCACAGCACAAATCTTTTCCTCTGAGCTACCCCAAAGGCATCATCCAACCAAGATCCCAGGAGCAGGCATGGAATGAATTCCCAGTGGTTAGAAAACATTTTGAAATTTCCCAATCCAATATTCCACCTTTAATTCTTTTGCAGATCAATTATCTACGAAATAGCGTATTATCTTCTTTAGATAATCCCACACGGCCTCTCAGATATGGGTATTGATTTTCAGAACTAGGCAGGAACATGACAGAGATGTCCCTCTACTCCACCCTCTCAACTCTCTTGAGAGGAGTGCAGCTTTGGGCAGAGGCTGTCCAGGGACTTTAGAATCACTCTGAGCTTCTCACAAAGATGTAGGTGTCAGAGTCTCCAGCCTTTGGGTCTGTTTTGTGCAAAGAGGTGTATTTATTGTCTTTATTCAAATGAGCTGTAAATATCCCTTCCTCATTTTCTCCATTGAGAATGTGAAAATCAGAAACACTAGGCTTTTTTGAGGATATTGTCTGTACCATATGAAGTACTGGAAATAGCAATGCACTTCAGAGAAGAATTGGTTGCATCCTGGACATTTGGTGACCAGGACTCCACTTTCTGCAGGCTCCTCATCCCTGTGTAGGGAAGTCAGCCAAAGGAGATGAGTGTATACGCTGTAATACCCTACAAATGTTTGTTTTCTTTCCACATTACTAACTCTCAACAAAACCCTCAGATGGACTAGATGGAAACTGCCTCCCACCACATAGCCTGATCCTCTCATTCTCAATAGAAAATATTATCAAATCCTGCTTTCCCTATGATCAAAATCAGGGACAACTTCCAACCAAAAACAAACAAAAACAAACTCCATGATCCTAATGAAGCCGCAGGAACACAAGCAGGACTCCCAGTAAATTTTCTATTATTCTTGTCTCTTTGGGACCTCAAAATAACCCAACTTTAAAAACTAATAATGACCCAGAATCTCTGTTTCTGATTTAGATGTCGCAAAATTAGTCTGCAATGCAAATCAGAAACGAATTCTTTCCCGTCCCCTCCTCTACCATCAGCTCCATCTTCCATGACATACCACGCACAACAGAGAAGTGTGACAAAAGAAAAGAGAAAGGCAACAGAGAGAGCGAGAGATCTACACTCGGGGTGCATGGAAACCAGCTTCTAGATACTTGGAAATGGCCACAGAAATGTTCAAATGTGTGCAGCAATAAATAATAACCTGACACTTAGGCTAAACATTTCAAAAGCTAAGAAGCATATTAGCCACGTTGACCGTGTGTGGTGTGCATATAAAGTATGTGTAGTGTGTGTCTATCTATACACACAAACTAAGGAGTACCAGTGAACTTGGCAACAATAGTATAAATACCACAGACACCTCACTTCGATAACTGAGTACTCAGGGACCATGGTAGGAGAAACGTCCTGCTGTAGGCCTTTTGTTTTTGTTTTTGTTTTGTTTTGTTTTGTTTTGTTTTGTTTTCAGAATCAAATTGGTTTAATAGTATCCAGTCTGGGTTCCCAGATTTCCAGGGATCATAAATACAGAAAAGCATAATTTGTATTATTTAAGATAGGGTTTTTTTTTTGCTGCAGACCCTTTAATACTTTTTGAATTTTAGATCATGTAAATAAAATACCTATTTAAAAAATAAGTAAGATCAATTTTGTAAATATTGGAAGAAAAGATACATTTACCAATATCTTTTAAAAATCTCACAAAGCACTTTTTGGACTTCTTTCTAGGCTGTGACTCCCACGCCACAGAGGAAAACTGTACAGATGCAGGCCCATCTGTCTCACTGTGTGTCACCCACGACACAGTAGTACACAGCAGTGTTGCTCAGGGCAACCCGGGGCAGGCTCAGAGTGCTGGACTTTCTGTCAGCAGGAATAAACAGCGAGGCCACTTCATTTGCAACGTTTGTCTTATATCCTTGAATAATAAACCGTGGTCCCTGGTTGGGGAACTGTTGATACCAGAAGATATAGTCATTTGTGGCCATGTTGTCGTGGCTACAGGATATGTTCACTTCTTGTCCTTCATATGAGTCCATGGAGATGGGCTGGGTGGTCTTAGCAAGGCTCCAAGTACCTATGGGAGTAAAACACAATCCTAACTCTTGTCCTGAAACCAAGGTGAGTTAGACAGTCCCACTCAGCACCCCCACGGTTCCCTCTCATAGTCAAATCCACCCCCACACTCTATTTCCTTGTCATGTATTTACACATACAATTTACTTCCCATTTATGTTTAGATATAAAAATACTATTTATATTTATCCCAGGAAGGCCCAGGAAAACATACACAGAAAGATCAGGTCTATTTTCTCCCTACAATGAACAGACCCTAGGGATTAGAAACCCAGAAAATCTTTGCTGCCCTGAGACGCGTCTCACATAAACGCTCAGGAGCTTCCTGGAGAAAAATGGGACCCTGAAGCGATCCCTCTACATCTTGGATAAAGAGCAACTGCTAACAGGCAGAGTTACAGATTCCTTTCCGGCATCATCAGGCCCAGATCCCATTCCTCTCCATCCCAAAATAACTCACTCAGGGTCAGGAACACGATCGCTCTTGCCACTTGCCTCATATTCTAGGTGCAAACCAGGACCCAGGTTCTAGACTCCTCTGCTGCATCTGAGCTGCAATGAGCCCAGCAGCAACTGCCAGGGCCCACACCAGAAACTGTCACTCAGGGCTGTCCTAGGAGAGCAGCCAATAGCAGGGCAGCAGCTCCCCAGAGCAGGGCTCCCCTCAAAGTTCAAATAAACCAAGAAGAGTAGGGAGCAAAAAATGCTGGTACTGAAGCACAACAGCCTGAATTCGTTTTAGATCTTTGCAGAGGCCTAATCCCTTAAAGATTTAGTCTGAATGAGGCAATGCTATGAGAGGGTAATAATAGGAGTCCACTGGACTCCTATTCCCCATTACGTAACTGTCCACAGTCCCAGAGGGTGGTCATCTACTGTGTTGGCCTGACACTCACGGACTCATTGACAGTCATGGTCTAAGCGTAACCTGCCTGACTTCGTACTTTATGCCCTGCAATGCTCCATTGACCCCTATTTAGCCAAGAAGAAATGGCGACTCTTAATCCTATCCCAAGAAAGAGCACATGAGGCAGTCTGGACTGAACCTACCATCTCCTGATTCCCTGGGATTCTTTATAATCCCACTAAGTCCACAGCTAATACCTGCTTCTCAGACCCTGTGTGACAGACGCTAAACAGAGGAACAAACCCCTCATTAGTCCCTACTGACCAGCTAGGATAGGACATTTGGTGTGGAATCACTCACCTAACCACAGAGGAGGTGAGGTGACCAAGAAGAAAAGGCACAGGCCGACTCAGATAGATGTAAATCTAAATCTAACTCTGCCACCTTGTGACCTGGGGCAGCTCACTCCTCTGAGCCTTGGTTTCTTCATTTGTAAAGTGGGAACAATAATATGCATTTCAGGGTCAACCTGTAGCATGCAGTCAAGAGCAAACTAGTTCCTTTCCCTTTCTTCTCGTCTGATTCAGAGTGCAGAGTACTATGGCTAGTAGAAGGCAGCTGTATAGGATTATATGTCTAATTGTTTGTAGTTAGCATACACACTTCCTTCAAGAAATACTTAGTATAAATTCTATATCGGAAGTACAAAAACTGAAAAGAAAAAAACAGTCATTCAGGGAAAGAGTCATATGCAAAAAAGACAGTAGTATTCATTGAATCAACCAAATGCTACAAACAAAACATGTCAGATACTCACATTAATGTGGAAAAGATAGTGTTGTGTTATTGAGTTCTTTTCTCTGATAACATGGGGGGGGGAATCACTTGAAAATATTTGGGAGGTGCCTCTTCTAGGTCTAGAATTGCCAAAAGCATTCTGAATCAGCAATTTTTCTATTTTTCCCATGCAAAAAATAAATCAGTGAGTGTTGATGACTTCCAGTAACATTTTGACAGAGGAGCTATCACAAGTCATGAAATAAAAACTAGATTTTCCTCAGTAACAAGTGAAGGAGAAAAGTGGTTTTTAAGAGGGACCTGAAGATGCTAGAACACCTTGCACAGAAATGAAAATAAATGGGTCATGCTTTACAACGCAACTTGTTGCAACAGCGACCTCTTGTGGTAACTATATTCAGAAAAAAAATGTTTCACGCAAGTCAGCAGGTCTCAGATCGACACAATTTATGGAATATCACATTTCTTTGTAAACACAATAGCAGCTAGCTTTGTTTGGACTATGGAGTCTATTTTCCGTTACGGAAGAAAACACTGAATGAGAAGTTAGACACACCGCATTGAAGCAATCCTTTGGATTTGATAGCTGTGCTGTTTAGTTCAAATCATCATTTGAGAGACAAAATTTATTCATCTCAGCAGGAGGGATTATAAGGATTACTTAAATGAGCGTAAGTAAGTTACTTCAGACTAGAGCATTCTATAAAAATGCAAATTATTTTTAATGCAGGAAATATCACCAAGCCAAAATGATCTTCCTTTTTCAGGCCAAAAAAATGAAACTTGATGTTTCTGTGCTACCACCTGTCACCTCCCTTAGGAGAATATTACCGGAAAGCAGGCACCTAGAGGAAGAAACACTAGAAGATGTTCTATGCCTCAGCCTATGGAATGAAAGTAATTATGGATGATAGTGGTGTGTTGTGGGTTGAACTGTGTCTTCCTGGAGTCGAAATCCCTAGCACCTCAGAAGGTGACCTTATTTGGAGATAGTTTTTACAGAGATAAGTTAAAATGAGGTGTTTGAGTGGACTCGAATCCAAACTGCTGAATGACGACTGGTGTTCTTATAAAAAGGGGAATATGGACACAGAGACAGACAAAAATAGAAGGAAATTTTGAAGAGGTACAGGGAGGAGATGGTAATCTGCAAGGCGAGAATGGAGGCCTGGGACAGATCCTTCCCTCACAGCTCTCCGAAGGAACCAACCCTGCCAACACCTTGACTCTGAACTTCTGTCCTCCAGAACCGTGAAATGATGCATTTCTGTTGTTTACATCGCGCAGTTTGTGGCCTCTTGTTTCCACAACCCTAGCAAACTAACACATGGTGCTAATCATTAGATTATATATTATGTATGTTGCAATGGTTGACTTGATGTGTCAAGCTGGCTAGGCTAAAGGATACCCAGGTAGCTTGTAAAATGTTATTGTGGGGTTGTGTCTGTGAGGGTGTTTTCAGAAAAGATATGCATTTCAATTGGTAAACTGAGTAAAGACCACCCTAAATGCAGGTGGGCATCATCCAAGTCACTGAGGACCTGATTAGAACAAAAAGGCAGGGCAAGGACAAGTTTTCTCTCTCTGCTTGAGCTGGAACATCCATCTTCTGCTGCCCTCCAACATCAACGCTTCTGATTCTTGGGCCTTTAGACTTGGACCAAGACTAATATATAACCAATGATTACATATATATATATATGTATATATATATATATATATATATATATATATACACACACACACACATATATATTCTAATAAGTATTTGTGTATACACACACACATATATATATCCTACTGGTCCTGTTTCTCTGGAGAACTTTAACTGAGAGATATATATATATACTCCTTTGCAAAACATTTTTTGCACACACACACAAATTTGCACATGCTGGAGTTTTTTTCAACTTAATATTATTTTCCAAACATTTTTTATTGTCAATACATATACATAAAATTCCAATTTTAATAGCCTCAACATACTTCATACTTCATGGTAGAAATGTTCTATAATTTATGTACCAATTCCTCTAGTATTAAACATTTGGATTTCAGAAAGAATACCATTATAAACACCTTTGTACATAAATCTTTGTCAAAACTTCCAATTTTTTTTTTAGACTAGCTTCAGCAAAGGGGATTTCCTGGATTCAAGTAAGAACATTTTAAGACTCTTAGAAACTATCCATTTATTCATCAAAAAATATTTGTGGAGCCCCTATTAGAGTCAGGCACTGGGGCAGACACCGGCCATTCAATGACGAGAAGGACCCAGTGGTCCAGTGAGAAGGAAGAGAATTCTAAAAGCAGTAACAGTCCTGACGGTAACTGTCATGATAGGGAAACCACAGAGTACTACAGGAACACACCGGAAGTGAAACCGTTTCGGCTGTAGGATTGCAGGAAGGCTTCCCAGCAGGAGTGACACCCACCTAAACTAAAACCTAAGAGAAGAGAAGAATGAGCCTGAGGAAGGCTGTGCTGAGTAGAAACAGGCAGAAGGCACGGCATCTGGACGGACTTGGAGTGAGAGAGTGGCTGGCACTTGGGTACATGATGGTCCTGTTGTTTGAGAAGAAAAACACAAAGGAGCAAATTTATCTTGTTTTGTTTTGTTTCATTTGGTGGAGGTGGGGAAGAAGGAGGAAAAATAAAGAGCTAAGCTTTGCACCATTTGATTTGAGCTGCTTCTGGAAAATTCGCATACGCCAAAAACCCAGTTTGATATATTTAATTGAAGCTCAGAACAAATATATGAGCTGAAAATAATCAGAAAATAATAGTTGAAGCATAAGCACAGATAATATTACCCAGAAAGAATTTGTTGACTGAGAAAATAAACAGGGTAAGGGAACCTAAAGAACACCAGCTGGCAGATCATCTGAGGTCAGGAGTTCGAGACCAGCCTGGCCAACATGGCAAAACCCCATCTCTACTAAAAGTACAAAAATTACCCTGGCATGGTGTCAGCTGCCTGTAATCCCAGCTACTCAGGAGGCTGAGGCAGGAAAATCACTTGAACCCAGGAGGTGGAAGTTGCAGTGAGCTGAGATGACGCACGCCACTGCACTCCAGCCTGGGCGACAAGAGCTAGACTCCATCTCAATAAAAAGAAAAATAGAACACCAACTTTAAAGAGCAGGCAGAAGAAAAGCCCACGAAAAAAGGAGAGAGCAGGTTCAGTCAAAGACATAAGAACATCAGAAAGACAGAGGTGGGCTGCTGTTTCGTACGTAGCATAGCAGATCCCTCACTGCAATCTATTGAAAGTCAACTCTCAACTTTAAAAAAAAAAAAAAAAAAAAAAGAGTAGTATCCCAGAAACCAAGAGAGGACCAGGTTTCAAAAAGGGAATAATCAATCATTCTTTGGATATAACCCAAGAAACTTGTTGCCAACCCTGGCAAGAATAGTTTGGGGCAATGGTGGAAGTTAAAAGCACACTTCGGTGGGTGGAAGAGTGAGTAAAACGTGAGATAAGAAAGACAGTGAAGATGGCTAGATTGCATCCCAAAAGCATCATATGAGTTTATGCCATCAATAGTATACTTCAGTACCCATTTACTCTTTGTCCATACTGCTTTAATAGTTTACAATAGCTAATTTAATCGTTAAATGAAATATCGTTTCACTTGATACTTGATCATTACTGATACTGTAGAAGGAGGCATTTTGCAGGATCTGTGTCATCAGCACTGCAGGTGACCACAACTTACCTATGGCCTCTCCTGGAATCCATGTTCTTACACTACAGTGAACCTTCCCCCAACTCTTGCATATCACAGAAGCACAACTTTTGATAATTAGAAAGGAATTCAATGATTCTTTCGGAGAACCCAGTGAAACTCACTACACAACCAGGGAAAGCTGAGAGGAGGGAGGAGTGAATGTAGAACAAGAAGCCCGCGGGGAAAAGCGTCCCCGTGG